AAACCTACCAACTAATAACGTTATAAATTGATAATTTTCAAAATTCACCCAAAAGTTATATATGCAAATTACCAGCATTTTCAAAAAAAAATTCTTTTAAAATAAGCGAGTTAGTGAATATTTAGAATTGGGACGTAAAAGCTTTGACCTTATTTTCCTTCTTACCTGAAATGTTTTATGGTCACAACATCCAACATGAATCGAATTTAAAAAAATATATAAGACATTAGTTCTACGTATGGCACAAGGCCTACATAAGGTCTGCCAAGAATATAACATTTGACAACAATTTTACAACAAACTTAGTAGTTTTTGCACTATCGTGATTTGATTCTCTTTGAATTTCAAATCATTATATTTCTTTTGACGGCAAACTTGGTTGTCAGATGGGCATACTGGCCGATCTTATGTAGGCCATGGTATTACACTAATATGGCGGCACTAAGAGTATTAACAATATATCTGAGTAACAACAAACAATATCTGTTTGAATCAAATGTTCAAGCTTATTTTTTGTATGTTTTTATTGATTTCAGATGAAGGTACTCTATGTTTATAGCGTGGACTTAACGATAAAATTTAAACAAGTTGGTTGCGCGTTGACGTTGCAGTTTTTTGCTTAATATAGACATTTAAATTTCTAAACATGTTGTTGTCTCCATCAAATAATAGGCTAAATGTATGTATTACTTAAAATAAATTGCCAAACAATTAACTTCCAATCTCTTGTCATTTAGAACAGGTTGACCTACCATTTAGTAGGCATGATTGGCAACGAATAGTGTAGCGTCGGCACCAGCGCCAACTACACTGCCGGCAACGTATTTACCAACAGCAGCTTCGCCATTACCCTAAAAATATATATAAGTTTTAAAATTGAATTGCACAATCAGAACAAAGAGGACAAAAGCTCCGCAGTCTCTCTAATTTCAAAACGCTTTAGATATAGGTGTCCAGGTAAATTTAGATCTTATTCCAATTCGCATTTCTTATTTAGTGTCAAAATAGGTAAGTCAATGCATAATCTAAGCGTACTGTTTTTGTTTTAATTATAGAGAAAGGTCATGTCTGGGAATCAAAACTGCAAAAGCCTGCTCAGTAATGTATAAAATTCCAACGGGGAAACACATGGGGAATGTCGTCATCGGTTCTCCTTCATAATATATATGCGAGAGAGGAAGGCCAATTTTTAGTGTTGTAAATTTTAGTACTTGTGCTGGCTACAAATAAACTTGCATTTGCGGCAAACGACGGAATTGAGCCAGCTTCATACTTGCCCTGGCATGCAAGAGCGTTTGCCTGCATTTTGTAAAAAAAAATAAAATATAATGAACAAAAATAAATTATAAAATAAAAAAAAAAAATAAAAAGCCACCAGAAACAATATCAAGGCATGATGCAATTATGATTGTACATATTAATGTGCGTATTTATAAAGATGATTTTAGGTTGATTTCTGTAAGGTTTCATCTCAAATGCGTGAGTTTGTAAATGTAGCTTTTCTACTATGTATAAATCTGCTGCCCTCTTTTAATAAGGATAATATGAAAAGTTAACTCATGCAAAAAAAAAAAAAAAAAGAATATATTAAAGTTTCCATTCCAAAGGTGCATCTTTTATAATAATATATACTAATGGGAGACGTCATTTCGAAAAAAGGAAATAACAGATTTGGTACAATTTATGAGACTTAGGTGTATATAATGTCATCGAATACGCAAATATGTACTATCATCTCTAGACGATGATTTGTATGTGCAGTTAGATGATTATATTATTGGAAAGGAAACAAAATTATGTAAAGTACATGCAATACAAAATAATAAAAACGAATGTGAAAAAAAAACAAATAAAAATATAAAATATGCATTCAAACACCGATTTACAGTAAATGCATAAGAAAGTAATGAAGGCAACCATTTCCCATAACATTGCCGCCAAATGAGCGAGTAAGTTGTCCAAATATCACATTTCAAATGTCATAATTTTGTCATTCAACCTTAAGGCAGTTGCATCGTAAATTGACTGGAATTAGGATAACCCTTACATCGTTATGTCGTTATTGATCCCATATAACCCATTGCAATCGTGAATGTCGTTAATTTTCTGCTGTACTTACCTTGGCGCGTTTAAGCAATTCATTTTGTCCAGCAGCAACATTTTCTTTCTTTCCACCCCAAGCGCGGAGGACGGAAGCTTGCAAAGCACGACCATATGAGAAGGTCAATGCCCATGGTTTCAACAGAGGAACGTTGTTAATGGCGTTCAAGTGAACAGAAGCTTCCTCTTCGGATTGGCCGCCAGACAAGAAGGTGATACCTGAAATGGAAATCTAGTTCAAGACCAATGCTGCTATAATTACAATTTTCATTTACCGGGAACGGCAGCGGGAACGGTGCGACGCAGAGCTGTCACAGTTGCAAAAGCAACTTGTTCAGGAGTGTATTTTTGGCGCAGGATTGGCCAGCTGTTACCATGTTAGGTTTCAAGAGAGTACCTTCCAAAATACATGATGGTCGTTCAAAGCTTTGTACACAGCAGCCAAAACGGTTTCTGTTACTTTTTGGGCACGATCCATCATGGTCACCATCGGGCAATACTTCAGGCTCTACAATGGGAACAATGCCTTGCGATTGACAGATAGAAGCATAACGAGCCAAAACATTAGCGTTCTCCAAGATGGATTGGTAAGATGGGGTGTTCTTGCCAATCTTCAAAACACAACGCCACTTAGCGAAATCACAACCGTCCTTCTTATATTGGGCGCAGCGGCTGGCCAAGTCATCCAAACCTTGGGTGGTGCATTCATCTTCGGAGCCCATCAATGGTACAACACCTTTGTCGACCTTGATACCGGGGATAATACCTCGCTTCTTCAATAATTCCACGAAGGGAGTGCCATCATCAGCCTTTTGGTACAATGTCTCGTGGAACAAAATAACACCAGAGATATTTTCAGATACTTTGGGGTCAGTAGTAAACAAAAGTTGGCGGTACTGGCGGCGGTTGTCTTCAGTGTTTTCGACACCGATATCCTTCAAACGCTTTCCCATTGTCGAAACAGATTCATCAGCAGCCAAGATGCCTTTGCCGGGGGCAACAATTGCCTGTGCAATGCGGCTGAGTTCCTTTTGCAATTCTTCGGAGGGATAGCTGAAGTAGGTAGTCATCTTGAGATTTTTTTTCTGCAAAAAAGGAGAATCGAAATGTGAAATTTCAACAAATAAGTAATAATAATTGATTCTGATATACATATTTGTAAAGCGGAAAACTAGTTATTTGTGTATTAAATGTTTATATTTTAATGTTTAACTTTGCGAACTTCAAGTTATTTATGTATAAAATTCGTAATTACGCATCGCTGGAAAAGTTTTACTACGCAGGTACGTAGGAATTATGTACACGCCTATCATGGAAATAATTCTAAAGAAGGGCAAGATCTCTTTACATACATCTATACCAACGTTGTTATAAGTTTAAATTTGAATTACCTATTTTATGTTTGGTTTCCAAAATCAATATCTTATCTTCACTTTTTCCTATAAATAATCTAATCTAATATAGCGTTACACTTACTAAACAACCGTTCTTAAATATCTGTCTATAATATCCAATAGTTACTATTAATAAAAGAATATGGGATTGCTGTTAAGACTTACAGATACTAACCGTTTTTCTCTATGAAATATAGGGCTTAGTTTGATTTGAGTACAACCTGCTTGGGTAACTTTCGTCTGAAGACTGATGTAACAATCAGGCATTTCATTTTGCTTAAATATTCAAAACTCCAGCCCTTTTTAGTACCCCATCCCTATTACTTTCTCCACTCACATCATTTAGTAAAAAACCGGATCATGCGCTGCAGATTTTTCATTTTGTGTACAAAATGAATGAACAACGAAATTAGGCACAATATTCATTAATGTATAGTCTTTGGTAACAAAGATGAGGGTGAAAAGACCTGTGGGGTAGTTCGAAATTCAACTATGTACGTTTTGTGTGACATTGAAAAGGTCATATTTATTTCAATGTTGCAGGCTCATAAAGAGAGCGCAACATTCTTCTATGTTGGCCGAATGTGTACTGTGTATCTGCCGAAGTCACTAATACGTATGTGTGTATACGTATTATATAGGGTGATGCTGGATAGACGTATATGCTGACACCTTGACATTGAATACACGGTCCAGTATTCTTCACATGTCAATGTTTTTTTCTTATAGTCATAAATGCCAATATGTCCGTATTCACACAGACACACACTTTTGCATATACCTATCTAGATACTTATACACTGAAGATGCATTGTTTATATACAAGAAACAACTTTTACTTTCTTTTAAATAGCTCTGCAACAAATATGTTTTCGTAAACATTACAAAAGCTAGACATATTAATGAACAAAATGCGATTTCTTAGGTGTCCCCAAAACAATTCGGCTTGTGTACTTCAAAAAACGGCGTCCACCGCTGGTCATTTGAAATATAATAGCAATAACACTAGACCTCTAATGTAATTCTTGGTCCTTTACACCGTTTACGACAAAAATCATTACCTTTCGAACGGCATTTAAAAACTGTCTTTAAAGTATTAGTGAATCGAACTATTGACATTGACACTGTTTTAAACACTCTTTGTTCCCTAACAGAAAATATCGAACCCTTTTGAAACTGTATAATAAGAAAACCACTGGACATTTCCAACGAGATCCGGCTCACAAAATTCTAAGAAGGAATCGAAGATATGAATCAATTCAATACTATAGGTTTGACTATTTCCTTCCAGTTCTCAGTCAAAGCCATCAGATTTGCTAATAAAACTTGTGTTTCAAGCTAAAAGCTGGATGAAAAACTTGTATGCTTTGCCAAAATAACATGCTGATAAAGGTGTTTGTATGTATGCATGCATGTATACACTTCATTTGAATACCACGTTGCGTATACATACATATGTTGAATGAATATTTTAAAAACTGAAGACATGTTTGAAACCTTGCGTACCTATCAAAGACGTATTTTATACCAGTTTATACGGTTATTTTCCAGCTGCAATCTCATTGCGGAAAACACAACATGGATGAAATACTGCTTTGAAATAATTTCCAAAATAAAAAAGTTCCCATTTCAAACCAGAGTTATTTACACCAGAGTTATTTGTATACAGCGAACTCTCCTACAACAGATGTGGGAGGGCGGACTGCGATCTCCCACGGGTCAATTGGTTGCGATTACGAAATACAATGTAATTGTTTTTACACTTTTCTGACGTGACTACACAAACACACTCTATTTTTTGCCTGAAATTCGCGTTAATCGTATGGCATTGCTCACAAAAATTCCTTTGGTGGACAATGTACACTTTACCACTTTCACTATTTTGGAGAACTTACCGCAAAAGTAGTCCAAGAAAATATAAAAATAGATATATAGCGATTCAAACTCCTTGTTCTGTCTGCTGCCGCTGCTTCTCTTCTGGAGGAGGACGACTGAAATGCGACTTATATTCCAAATAATCTATAGATAACAAACGTCAAAGTAAAAGGTTGTTTGAAGGTCGTATGTATGTTCACGCCGTTGTCAGATCTACATTCATTAAGCGACAGGCCGCCGACTTCATTTAAAACATAACGGCGCGAAATGTTCATCACTAGAAATGATATCCCACGACTATTCACTGACGAATGATAACTTCTGTCTGATAAATCCCGTACAACGATAATACTACATGCCGAAAGAAAGCAGCGGCACACAGAAAATATCTAATTGTTCTACAGTCAACATTGTAGGAAAAAAACTGTAATATTAAAAACTTAAGTCATGGTACACTGACAAAAATCTTGTTTCTAATTTAAACCCCCTACCTAATACGTGATGAGTTGAATACATGCATTTATATTAATGTTACCGTAATACGTTCAACGAACAAATGTTCGAAGCAAAATCACATTTAGACCATACCATTATCTCGATTTAAGTTCTTAATCCTCCCGAGTTTATCATGACTTACCATCATGGTAGAAGAATATAGGTAGACGCATCAACACAGCTGCTGGGACAATGAACTGTCAAACCAATTTTGGAATTGAAAATGTTAAATGAAAAATTATTTAAATTTGTAAAAATTGTTAAAAAACTCGAATTATAATACCTCCTAATGACGTCGTATAGAAAACATTTAAAAACCTACTCATATTTGAAAAACATCCCAAGCTTTGATGCATCTACCTGTATTCTTCTGCCATGCTTACCATGCAAAATAAATAAATTTTAAACTTGTATTATTTAGATACAAATATTATTCGGATCAACCCACATTATCGTAATTCATTGCTTAATCCGGGTGTATTCAACCAGATTTACCATACAAAAATAAATCTTCCCACCACCGGATTACTTTAAATCCACATACTAATGGGAGGCCTCTTTGTGTACAGCATTTGCACGGCATTAGTATTGCCATATACTCCAAAGTCGTAAATATTTCCGCAGAGGAAAGGTGTGTCTATTACCCTAGGTGTATCTGGTTACCCTAAATTTGTTACAATTGCTACTGGAAGCCGTTTGCTAACACCAGCGGTGCTCAAGAAATATCTCTTTCAGTCAAATTCTCTTTGCTTATTTAAATCAAGAACAATACAGTATTAAGTCATTATTTATACAAATATTTTTATCCATTTGCTTTCTAAATTATTTGGCAAACATTCGTGTTTAAAAACAATTAAATAGAACCGTAAAATATAAAGAAAAACAGAATTTTAATTTTCTCTTAAATTATCTGTTTTTTCTCTTCATGTTCTAGAACACGGTTTTGAGCACCGCTGCTAACACAAACGTTCTGAAAAAGAGAAAGGACTTTTGGCAGTATCCAGAAAATCCCTGTTGGATAAATTCCTTCTTGCAAACACTTGCAACTCTTCTTCTTCTCCTTTCGGGTGATGTATAGTTGGGCAAGAAATTTCAAAAGATATTTATTTTGAAAAACGCAAGTTTTGTTTTTCGATTAATTTTTAATTTTTGTGTTCTTAATTTCTTTTATTTGCGGGCAAATTGCTTTATTTTGATAATCCAGCTGATTGCTTGCAAGTTTTTGCAGGGATTCCGTATGTTTACTTTTCACAGTTTTCTTGCAAAAAACTTATTTGCTCATGATAATACATTGAAAGAAGCATTATTTTTCTTGCAGTAGTTAGTGTGAATAACGCTTATTTTCCAACATCATTGTTTATATTAAGTTTTTTTAATACGTAATTTTTGTTAATTTTTTGCATTTATTTGTGGTTGTGTGTGTATATAAAAATACCCTGGCAAATGTGTTGCCAGAACTAAAAACGTGTTCCCATTATATAGCATAGACAACAACCACGTACGGTGTAAAAACGAAAACACGCTATTGACATGGAAATACTAAATATTTAGTCTGCCTGGTTACCCAAACCGAGAGGGATTCGAAAGAAAAAATGTTGACAATTTGCAAATTCTTAACGGACATATATCTTTTGCGGGTGCTAAAAACTCTTCTAATTCCGATAAATTATTATTTATGCAAGTTATTTTATTTTGGCAAGGTACAAATGCTATAAGCGGGTAGAACCTGTTAAAAACTCTAAATACGAATAATAATCAATTTCATTTCAAAATGTGGCTGAAATCTTGGGGAGGTACTGTTATATGGGGCTATAAGAAAAAGTGGCTTTATATAGGCAATGCTCTGCCACAGGAGATATAAGCGAATTTTTAACATATGTGTTAGAAAATGTGATATAAGTCGTCAATATACCGATTATCAGGAAATTCCGTTATATGAGGGCAACAGGAAAAGGTGGAGTTAATGCTTTGTTATAACTAATAGAACCCTTTATATAATCTATGAACAGAATTATAAGCAATTCCGTTAAATATGTGGTTTACATTTCTAAATACCTAATATCGGGGTACGGTTATATGGGGGCTATAAGAAACGTGGAGCTAATTAGACAATGCTTTGCTACTGGAGGTAGAACAAGTTACATCAAAAAATAAAAGTTAGAAAAGGTGATCTATATACGAAAACACGGACCATTTTTGTCCACTTACGAACTTAACCTGCCCACTGACAAAAAAAAAAACATATGTGCAAACTTTTAACCTTCTATCTCAATTCGTTCCAAAGATAGCGTGATTACAACAGACAGACGGACATCGCTAAAGCGACGCTGGCAAGAACATGCATACTTTGTTGGGTTAGACATGAGTATGAGAATGACAATGTTAATAAACCTTCATAGTGTGGCGGAGTGTATAAACCTGTGACCGAAGACCGCCTGCCTAGAAGGAATTTCAAGGATCAACATAATAACATATGTGAGCAATTAAAACACTTTAAGGAATAGTATATTTAGATAATGTCACATATTTTCCTGAGCACTTCCTATTGTTCAAGACCAGACGCCTTGTACTTAGGACCAAAAATGTATCTTTTTCCAGCACACCTTGTTATTTTTAATTTTGAAACCTACTTGCAGGGAAGGACTACGTGTAAAATGATATAGACAACTGAAACTGCAGACCAAAATGAAACATGTTGAAAACAATATGTCGATTGTTGATTACACCTTATAAAATACACCTTGGTTCTGTGCATGGCATTATAAGGTCGGGCAGTATGCACAACTAAGTTTGCTGTCAAAATTGTTGTCAAGATTAGTCTTCTTGGCCAAACTTATGTATGCTATAATGAAATCAAGGTGGGGCACTGCTACCAATCGATTTCAATTTTTTTCATTTTCTTGGCTTTACATGTCAAATTAATTTGTGTATTCTTTCCAAATTCAGTTGTAAACAAAATGCGTATTACAACGTCTGTATGGACAAAATGTACACTTTTTTAAGTGAAATAAACAAAACAACTTGTGCTACTGCCTTTGTGAGAAAATTGCGTGTACAGGTCCCCGTCTTCGTTCAGCCCCCACATAACGTATTCTTCCACGTCACTGCAGTGTAGGAATTTTCCCCTCATAATATAAACTTTAGCTTTACTCTAAGCCGATGGTGCGGGAACTTTTTGGAAAAGCATACTCCCATTTTGTAATACTGTCGTATAATGCAGAATGCCTATTGTATGTGTATGTTTTGATTTCGATTTGAAAGGGGTGTGGCGTTCTTCACGATTTACTTTGGATTTCTTGAACCGTTGCAAGATTTGTACATTAAACCTTTAAGGAATTTTGAACGTTCAGCTTTTTAAATTTTATAACCCAAATTGCAAAAATGTACAGTTTTGACGTTAAAATAATTTTGTAAAATGTTTTTACAATAACGAATGCCTAGCTGTATAATGGAATTGACAGTTAACATCCATAAACGTTGTATTAAATTACCATTTAACACGTCTGACAATTTCTGAGATGAAGCGTTTCCTTTCAAAGGGGTGTTGGGAGGTGATACAGGCTGTATCATACAGCCTCACCACCTAGTGATTGACGACGTATTCGCAGGTACACTGATTCCAAGTACCAAATTGTATCAACATCGGGCAGGTCGTTTCAGAGAAGCACTTGTATGAACACCGTGATGATTGAAGTGTCTCAATAAAGTCAATGTTTTTGTGACGCTGTGTGGGAATTTATTTCCCAGCGTTATTTTCAAATTCAACAGCTGTTCCATAAAAGCTTCCGAGAACTTCCCGTTATTCGTCACTTTAGGAGAACAATTAAGTTTTCAGCGGAGAGAGTTTAGCACGTAATGCGCATGTCCTCAACCAATTCGATGTTCATGTAATTGCAAATGCGATTTAAAGTATGGAATATTTTATTGAAACCCTGTACGGTTTAAATGGAAATATTTTCCTAGACCCGAAAAATTAGACAGATTTTAGAAGTGATTCCGCTCTGTAAATTGTTGGTGAAAGTCTGAGAAGAGCATCGTCGCCTATTCCCCAACTAGTTGCCAGTGGCTTGTTGTTGCTCTGATGAAACAAAACATATTGAGTGACTATGCGTTGGTTCGAGGAGACCACATTTGAGTTCAGTTCCACTTGAAACGCTGTACGGTAAAGTTGGATACGTTGTCGCGGACATTGCGCCGGAAACTCGTCAGACGTTGTTGTCTCTCCCAATATCCAGTCAGTCAACAAACCACTTTACATCATATCAAATGGAACGAATGTTTGGATCGTGTATCGTATATCAGGACCGAGTCCATGTGTGTGTAGGTCGCATTGGCCATAGATAAATAACACTTACTATAAGAAGAACGAGCCGTCGATGCTCTGTCGCTCCTCGGTCGGGAAATACGGAAAGTTCTACTGTGCCCAAAGGTAGCACGTGTTGCACTTGGCGACAAGTAGGTTGTATGTCGTTCATTAACCAAAGACCTTCAAGCCACTAATTACCAAATGTATGTACCTGTGATAACAAGAAAGCAACACGCGAATCGTATATTAGTGTTAGGTGGACCGTCGGTCATATTCATTGGAAGTAGTAGTGGATATACTGTTCAAATTGCGCCATAAATATCACGTTAAAGATGGTGATTGTCCATCACCCCATTGGTAAGTTCACTGATGCGATAGATGGTTGCACGTCGTATGTCCTATACTAAGGACTCAAACTCGACAGGATATCCTGACCTATATATGTTTGCATACCATTAGAAACATTTTGTTTTAAGGATAAAATTCAACTCAGTTACGTCTCAGACAAAGCTATATTGTGAGCGCGGAAGAGTCCTGAATGAGCTCAGTATTCGCTAAACCGTAGTCCATTTCTCGGGACATTTCTACGCTCGGTAAATATTCAAAAACGAAGACAGCGGGTGACATGGTTCCGATACAATATTCCTAGTTTGTGCGGCGTGTTGACTCTTTCAATGGTTTTAATTCTGTTATCTAAGTTCTGTGGACACTTTTCATAGATACCAAGTAATGCATCCCTCAGTGGCTTTCCACAATGCACTGTGGCTTAACCAGTGAGGGAAGTTGTGACGAAAATATTTCTACAACACTGACCGATCGAACAATGCAACCAAATAAGTTCCAGGGTCGTTCTATGTTTTGGCACAGGCCCGATGTTGATGATTTCAAAAACATTTGTCAATATTTCCGTTAAAAATTTGGCACCATGGGCTCGGAAAATTTCTATTGGATAACAATGGTTTGTATTTGAGCTGTTTCATTCATCAACAACACATCGCTTTCACTAAATATGAAAATGTAACGACTGCGTGCATCAACCGTTGCTACATATAAGAGTTCTTTGACTTAACCGAAGTTAACAAAGTTAATAGTTTCGCTTTAATTATACGCCGATACGACGTGTTCTGAGGTTTCATATTTCATTTATTCATCCCATCCTATGTCATGGTCCTCCATTCAACGACATTTAAATGGAAGGATTCTAGCTGTTTTTCAGCTCAGAGAGTAAGGGAGATGAATTGAAACTGTGGAAAGTGGATAAAGGAGTACCCAAATAGCCGCGTAAAGCTTAAACAAGTTTGGAGCACAGTGCAATTTGAACCAAGTCGCTGTCATAGGGTCAAAACCTCAATTGCTGTTAAACCCTGCATGGGCTGTACCAACATGTGGATCAATATAGTGGGATGAACGAGGAAAATCTTACATTTATTAGCAATGTCGGCTGCATGAATTTCGCCAGGCGTGATAACAAATTCATTTCAAAGAGCTATGACTTTGTATTTTCGCAATACTAAACGAGTAGTTTTATAAATTTAAGGATATTTTTATAAAACTCTTACATTTAAATTACTATTTCGAACAGTTGCAAACGATGTGACAAACTTTATTAGTTCTCGCACTATGGAGGAGGTCATAAAAAGTGTGATTTGGAATCGAAATTTGCACATCATTCCAATTCGACAAACGATGCCCTGCACCACATGAACGAAAGGCCAAAGTCGGTCAGCGGCCACGTAGAACCCTACACCACTCATCATACATACACACATATCAAGCAGACCTTGATTAAAATTGAATCGGCTATAAGATATACCTGTTGGATAAAGCTGCATGGATCCTTTTTACCAAATCATTACATGTAGAGGTGAAGCTTAAAGCTACACCAAACATGACAGATTTCATTCTGGTTGCAACATGATCGCGTGGTACGTAATTCGTCTTTATTTTGTTATAAATAAACGCCGATATCGACAACATATCAGGAGTGCCTTTGAGGACTTAAGTGTGGTTTATAGCTATATCCTTATTTGAATAGTCGCATTCCCTGGCCTCTGGCCGGACCCACGATACATTAACGACCTATGTCGTTCTAACGGGAATGCTAAACAGTATCCCAACATTTAAATTTCTGTGTATATTTGCTACACCTCTGGTTTCTGACTATATAGCCTACGAAATCAGCATCATTGAGAAGGTCAGAAGTGCACTTTTCATATATACTTGACGATCAATGGAATTTTTCGTATTTCTCACACAAAAGTATCGGACCATTTCACCCCCAAATATTATACGATGATAATAAAAATGTGTAGTTTCTGTCCTGTGTTAACCCACGATTCACGATTATCTCCAAAAAATAGGCTTCTATTATGACCTCAACTCCAAATCCATTCTAAATTTCATGAGGATCGGGTGATAAATTCGATCTGTAGCGTGATTACAAAACCCCCGGCTTGTGCTGTGCAGGTGGCAAGGTGAAATTGCCTGTTTTGGCACATCCCCCTGAGCCATTGTATTCGTTTCACCTCGGCAACACAATCCAAGAAAATATTTTCGTGTCGAATACTCCAAAGTATAGCCAAGTAAAAAAGCTGTAAGTTAGAATACCCTCCACCATTTAGAACGAATTTGGCCATTTTCAAAAACAATAAAATCCGTCAAAACTTCAGTTAAAATCTTAAAAATACCGAATGAGCTATTATATTAGGGTTTATACGACGACATGAACCTGCGTAAGTAACATTTGTCATAAGCCATTACAATATTCGAAACAAAAAAAAAAATCGGTTATAATGTCGATAAAATCAAAACACCGAATATCGGGAGGTACCGTTATATGGGGGCTATAGGAAGACGTGGTCCTACACAGACAATTTTCTGTCGTAGGCTTTAGTATCCATTACGAACTTCAAATATCAAATTCTGGTGAAAAATGTCCCTACAATCATTAAAATACCGAATATCGGGAGGTACCGTTATGTGGGGGCTCTACGAAGAAGTGGACCTGCACAGACAATTTTCTGTCTTAGGCTGTACTATCCATAATGAACTTCAAATACCATTTTGAAAATTCGCTAAAATCATCAGACTATCGAATATCGGGAGGTACAGTTATATGGGGGATATACCAAAACGTGGACCTACATGGCCCATTTTCAATACCAAAGTCCTGCAGATATAACATACATTTGAGTTTAGAATTTTATGCCGAACCAGAATATATATACTTTGTGGGGTCTAAAATGTATTTTTCGAGATGTTACAAACGGAATGACAAACCCAATGTACCTCCATACTATGGTGGAGGGTATAAAAATCACACGCGAACAGATTAGTCTTGGTATGGCCAGACTTCATTCGACACAACACAACAAGAAATACATACGGTACTAACCGTATTGGCCACCTGAACATCCTGTAATCCATATCAGCAGCATGTACGTATGGGTACTAAAATTGTGGTTTGAATGGATTTGTCTTGACCACGACTCTACATATGACTATAGCTGCTGGAATATAAATTGTCGAACCGTTAATTCGGCGTTGATGCTACCACCAAATATACTGCTGGAAGATTATCGAAGGGCTTTTGTTTTCAAACCAAACTACCAAAAAGTTCAAAATAAACTAAAAGTATATGGCAAGACAATTTTAATACCTCCACCATTTGGAGGAACTTGAAAAGTTTCAAAAAATTCCGTTTAAATGAAGACCTTTATATGGGGCTTTACGAAGACGTGGGTCAGCATAAGTAATTTTTGTAGTAGGCTGTAGTACCCATCAAAATCTTCATATACGAAATTTAAAACAACTCCGGCGAATAATGGCCCATGGCCCATGGCCCATTTACGAATTTAACCTGCTACTGGCAAAATACACATGAGTATTCTCATTTCTCAATTCGTTCCAAAAAAACCTGATTACAACAGCCAGACGGACATCGCTAAATCGTCTTGGAATTATGGGAAGTTTCCGGACTGTTTGGAGTTCCACAGGTAGTAGCGTTGCAACGAAGCCTGACCGGAGGCTAAATTCTGGTACCGCGGGTGCCAGGTGAACCTAGATCCGCAGATCTAGCCTAGCAGTTGGTGTTGGCCCCCTTGTAGGAGCATCACGGTGGCTGTGGTTTAATCCCAAATCGCGGGGAGAGTGTGTTGCTCGAATGTGAAGTTGCATTATCAACCGGGTGACTGACCCATAGAAAGGAGGCAACTGAGTCGAAATACGTGCGCGCAAATTGGTACTTACTTTTGTGGGGGCGTTGGTAGAAGCATTGTATTCTCCCGGTGCTAAGACCACAGTGAGATGGACTGCAAGGTAGGTGCTCACATAAAACCACACACAGGTAATGGGAATTTATGTGACGGAAATTAGAGCGGCTAAAGTTTGAAATCGGATGGAACTAATATATGGAGCTATATCTTCAATTGAATCGATTTCCACAAACATTGACGGATGCGACCTTTCGTAAGTGAAGTGAATATATACTTCGTGAAGGCTTAATATATAAAAACGGAGTCGGACGGACATATATAAAGAACACTTTTAAGGGGATTTTTCTCAATAACACAACCGTGAGAGGTGATATCTCGTTTCCTTTGCTGGATTTTTTGTCTCAGCCAATCCGTACAAACTATTAACATTTTCGATAAACGAGCGAACTTATTTCTACACAAGTGAACTTCCCCAATTACAACGTTTACTGGAAACTAATTACTGGACAAAACGTGTCATATTGGCTTCCAATTAAATTAAATCTTAAAACTACCTTTTCAATCGAATTTATTTTGCATCTGTTTTCAGAAATCCACGTTGTTATTGTGCCACTCTAAAAAGGCAATGAAATCGCGCAAGCTCCCTAAAGGCTTCGTGCTCTGTGGCTTAAACTGCTTGACATTCGTTTACTTTCCGTTGGTGTTGCCGATTGTGACTTGTTCGAGCAGCGATTTGGATTACCGGCTACAACGAGTTAAAAACGTTCTGAAGGAGGTTCCTCTGATTGACGGGTAGGTTCTCCATAATATTACATATACATATACCTAACTCGGACTTATGAAGAAGACAACAAATGAATTGGATAGGTAAAAAGTTGAATTTTATAAAATGGCACTCATGCTGACTTGCCGTTGTATACTGCGAGGGTTACAGCGCGCATTTGCAGTAAAATATATTTTGAAGAATTTTTCTGGTGGACTGAGGCCTATCCGTTGATGCTATGATATTTCTAAAACTACTTTTCATTTAGCGACAAATAGGTAGGTAACTTCAAGTCAATCAAAATAAATGTCAGTATAAAACTTAAACAAGGCTACAGTCGAGCGGGGCCAACTGCGTAATACCCTACAACACTATAATTTACAGTAACGTTTTCTAGACATCTAAAACATTTAGGACTGGAATAAACGAATGCGTCAAGATATTGAGATCTATAATAGGATCATTCTAACTATCAGGTTTGGTTCTTAAGAGGCTAAAAATAATGTAATAAGTTCCTGTTTAAGGCCATTGTTGTCATTATTTCATTCCTCCGTGCAAACGTGACCAGAGTCACAAGGCAATGCTGAATTCCGTGACAATTTCCACGGATTAACGCCCTCTGTCGAGCTAATGGGGATTCGAAACATCGTTTGAACCATTAAAATAAAGCGTATATTTTGTTATACCTTCGATTTTGCTACGAAATCAGCAACGATGTAAACGTCGGATGTGCCAGTGATTTTGTCGTTGACTTTTAGTATTAAAAATATTCACGGTTGAATGATAGTGTTTAAATTTTTCAAAATATTCCATTACATTATCCGAAGACCATCCAAAACGGTAGGATTCTGCCGTAACTAAACTCTAAACCCATGCAAATCGGTCTATGATTCTAACCAATAGAGCGACTGCAAAATCTCAAAAAAACTGTTTAAGTTCTTTTCAAGTTCTTCATCAACTTAATATTTAACAATTATCTCCCCCAAGAATAGGCTTCTATTCTATCTCAAACTCAAGTTGTTAGACCATGATTGCGACCTGTGGCGTGATAAGAAATTAATATGGATGGAACGCTCGGCGACATAGGAAGATTTATATATATAACATCGTGGGTCCGTAGGACCAATATTTCGAGGCCCAATCTTTATGGACCAACCTATCCCAAAACATAGTGTTGTAGGGTAAAAAATATATGCAAACCGGGACAAAATGTAGGAAATTATAAATTCTAAATGTGGAATATTGATCGTATAAGTTCTTCTTTTCTTCTTCAATTTGTTAAACAAAAACATGCATTAGCATAACCTGATAAGTTGACAATTGATTTTAAAAATAAAGGTTTATATTGCCATCAATATCGATACGAAAATATTATCATATAAACCGGTGTCATTGCACTGAAAGAAAAATGCTTCGTTGTTTCAATGAACCGGTTTCGTTGATTTAATTGATTTGATTTGATTGATGCAATGAAAAGCTACATTAATATAATAAATGTTTTGTTCATGCTATGAAAACTTACGTTTCTTTTAAATTCAATGATTCTTGGTTTCATTGAATATAGAAACGGATTTCATTAATGTTACAAAACTAATAATTTTTTACAAAATTCAGTAAAAAATGTGAATATAGAAATGATACATAATGATACAAATACGCAACCAAAGTATTTACAATTAAAGGGAAAATTGTGATAATGTTATATTTAAATTTGTGCTCCATTTAATGAAGCAGTTTCATGAAATGGATGAAACATTACGTTATGGGTCGTTTTTAGGCCAAACCATTGATACATGGAAAGGCGACCTGCATTTTGTTCATACAAATGTGTGGTGTAGGTATTAAGAAGTAAGAAACAGCAAAGTTCGGTCGAACCGAGCTTTTAATACCCTCTACCATTTTGAAGGATTTTGAAAAAATTGTAAAAAATCCGTCGAAAAATACCGCTTAAACGAAAACCGTTATATTGGGGCTACGAAGACGTGGACCTGCATACGACATATTTAAGAAGTTTCTTTACATTCACGAAAGGTTTTCATTTTGTTAATGAATGTTTTTTACTGCATTAATGAATGTTTTTCATTGTTTAATGAAGAAATGTCATTGCCTTATGAGTGTATTCACTGAATCAGTGAAGAATTTTCATTATATCAATGAACAATTTCGTTAATTTTACATTGATGGAACTCAATGAACTTTCTTCATTTATTCAATGAACCCCTACGTTGTTCAAAATCAATAACAAATTTCATTGACGGAACGTATTTTGGTACATCAGATTTTCTTAATCCTCTCGAAAGTCGCGCCAACGTACGAATATTTCAAAAAAAAAAATATGTTGGAGAAAACTTACGTAGCATAACTGCTTTCTAATCCGGAGCGGCGGGAGCGGAACTGATTTGAACTTCCACTTTTCCCTTTAATATTATTTGCAGCTCGGTTACAATTTTCCATACAAAAATATAAATAAAATATTCCAACATTTAGCAAATATTGTACTTTATTACGAATTTAATGCTTGCTTTGAAAATTAGAATTGAAAATTTCATGTGACATTTTCATATATTAGTCCACGTTTATAAAACATGTATTTTCAGTAAAACACAGAGGTTGCAGATTTTAATTTTCAATAAAACACATACCAAATTAAGAAATGAAAAAAGTAGATTATTCCTCGTCGTTTGACATTTAAATGTAAATTCGGGAATATGGCCACCACAAGTATTTTGCACAGAGATCATTCTGGAGGTCCAATTTTCGACAACCATTCCATTTCCATCACGGTAACGCGTTGTCCTTCTTCATTTTTATTGAAATACGGACCGATGGCTCCACCAGCCCATAGACCACAGCAAACAGCATGGCACATCGATTGCGAGGTAGGGCAGAATGTTAAATTTAAAAAACACAACCCTAAAGCTAGAGTCATGTAACTTCAAAATTTGCCAACAACAATGCTTTTTTTTAATTTACGAAAGCGAATGGAACGCTTAGATTTTCACAACATCGAGTTCGTAATACAATTGCAATTCTTTTTCATCCAAAAACGAAACATTTATTCTCCCCAAATGCTAAACATGCATTGATTTTTTAAAAGAATTGATTGTTTTTAATATTTTATTCATTACTCAAAACATACATACACAAGAACTGTGTACATATTTGGACATTGCAAACTACCGAACGAAAAAATCCTATTCAAACTCATTTTTACGCGAAATTTTCGATAAAGTCGATGGACAAAGCCTGGCCTCACGACAGCAATATTTTCTCTGTACTCACTCTTCTCATTCTTTTCGGCGCCCTAGCATCCAAAGAGTGAAGTAGGTGCCCCAATTTCGGTATTTACGTTCTTTGTGGTGATCTCAGACGGACAAAGTGCTATGTAAACAGTTTAATTGAACCTGTTTTTGAAAATCGAGTACCACGATTTGGAAATGATTGAGAATTTGCCAACCAATACTGAGTAGAGACGTCACTTTCAACTGCCAGACCACAGTGTGATTGTTAATAAAAAAAGCCTCATAAAAAGTAAATAAACCCTTTATAAAGTAGTATTTACGATTTTCCCTATTTTATATGTCTCGGCTTCAGGCACCAGTTTTATATTTAAAAAACAAAAACACAATTCAAACAACTCAGTTGAATACACCTAAGTCTGTTTTTACACGGTAGATTGGTTCCAGAAGAAGCCGTGTAAAAAAACACCGTGTAAAAAAGACATTGATCTTATACAAAAATGGGTGAATTTGTTCCTAATCTCTAAAACCTATTAAAAATTAGTGAAAAACAAGAATTTTTATTTTTTTCTTTACCAAACACGTCTTATTGCATTAACAGTTCACAAAATATTAACACGTTTTCAATTGCTCTGACCAGTAAATTTTATTGTATGCACATAGTGCTATTCACATTTGCTTTGACCAGTAAAAAATTGTTTGTACGCGCTAAAGGGAAATTCACTTAAATCTTTAGCTAGTGTTCGCAAACTATCGATACTATCGATGGTTTCAGACTTTTTTTCTTTCATAAATACTTTTTTTGTATATGAACATACTTCGCAAAAATTAAATTTGACAAAAAAAAATTAAGTACATAAAATTTCAAATCGTGCTAAAAGGAATAAAATCGTGTAAATAAATTAAAAATATTCAATTTTCAAACCGTGTTATATCAAAACCGTGTAAAAACAGACTTAGGTGTATTTCATTGTCTTTTATTTCACTTAAAATGCACCCTTCGACATATCCTACACGCCATCTTGACTTGAATCAAAATTATGATTTTTGTTGAATAGAAATAGTTATTACATGCTATAATACCATTTACAATAGCCGGAAGTTTTCAAACAATTTTAATACTGGTCACATTCCGACTGATATTCAACTTGCCAATGATGCTACATAATTCCTTTATCCAGTAACCAAGCTGTGCAAATTGTGTTCTTCACTCTCTCGGGGTTGACTGCGAGGAGTCAGGGTTATTTGAAAATCCATGGCTCTGCAGTCAGATTCGGTTGCTTAATTTAAAATGTGATGGCTGCAGCCACCAAAATTGATCAGAGAGCCAAACAATTTCGGGAATGTCGAACAACGCCCTGATAGCCTGCATCTTATAACAGTTCAAGTCATTAGGATATTGTTCGTCACTGATTTGATGTAAACGTTATTCCACTTGGCTACTAAAACATCTTAGAAATACTCCAAACGTTTAATCAATGAGGTGACATATCCAACTGTTATATTGATTTCGTTTGTGCGACCAAAACTTGCCACATCGAAATGACTGTTTTAGATGCTAGGTCCGTCCGGTCATCTGTTTGTCTGTCTCGAAGGAAGTATCCGATTGGTCCAAATTTGGCACATAGTAATATTATTTTCGAGCTTAGATCGAGTTCGGAGATGGGCAGGAAAAACCGACTGATGCAATTTAACTTGTTTTTTATTTGTTTGGCATTATTTTCCATTACACGAACATTGTTTAGAAGCTATTCTATTCAGTTGTAACCAGAATGCTTACTGCAATCCGCGCAGGTAGCCATCCACACTTACAAATTTTTCCATGGAATGGTACAACCGATTGCACTGGTATTTGCAGTTCAAAACAGAACTAGTTGAAAGATTGAATTCTGATGCTTTTATTTGTAAGTGTTTCTATACCTTGTGGTGGTGGTTAATAAAAGTTTGACCTAGCAGAATTTAACGCCTTTTTACTTGTTTTGTTTTATTTTTTTTATTTAAAATAGAGTGAAGGGTATTTTAAAAGATCTGTTGAAAAGAATTTCGAACATCTATATCGTAGTAGGAAGCAGGAGGTCGACCTTGGTATTGTATACGGCTAGTGATAGACAACTTTTTCAAAGTGGCATTGGCGTAGAGACGCTTTTTTGTTTTTGGCTGAGAACATCGGCTAATGTTATTCAAATATCTTCGGAACAGACACAACGATTTGCCATGGAACATACGCAAGTTCTTGAAGAACCAACTCAAGGATTTTCATTTTGCCGGCGACCTCAGGCAGGTGCAGCCATGGTCGAACAGTGCTTGGAGCCATACCGATCTGAGGCGACTGAAGGAGGGCATGGTGTCTGCTCAGGTGAATATAATTGACGGCATAATTATTGTTGTGGTTTTACTGTTAGATCTTTTGAACGAACAACAGTTTTGGTCAGCATACGCCCCCTGCTCATCCCAACATCTGGATGCTGTACAGTTGACTTTGGAACAAATAGACCTAATCAGGCGCCTGGTCAACCTATATCCACACCAAATGTCGTTGGTAACGACAGCGTCAGGTAAGTGTCTTGTCGCTCCTGAATATCTCACTGCGGTTGTTGTTCTATCGCAGTGGTCGTGACATAACAAAAGCTCACAACGCGTTCATTTTACCCTCAAGTTGAATTGATCATCAAACAAAGCGTAAGTTAGCTTCTGTCGAACTTGCATTCTAAAACATACTCTCGAATAGGAAGATTGGACCAGTGACCAACCTAAATGCCAGAATCCAAGTTCTTCAGTTTAGAATTATTTGTATAAGTTGTGAATATCTCCAATAACAGCCACTACATCTCGTTCTGGCATCATAGGTATCGAGAAAACGCACAAAAGCGGCAAGATCGCCAGCCTGATTGGCGTGGAAGGTGGCCATGCTATTGGAACAAGTTTAAGCGTACTGCGAATGTTTTATCAGCTCGGGGCTCGGTATTTGACGTTGACGCACACCTGCAACACACCCTGGTACGTCATCATCCGCTTTCGTTTTGGCCATGGCAGATACATTTTTAAGTGTTTAATTGCAGGGCGGATTGTTGCAAAGTTGACGAGCCTGGGAAGTATCCCCACATTGGGGGTCTCTCGAAGTTTGGGAAGGTAAGAATACATCTGACTTCTTTGACTGATTCGCGTCTACCGATGTCTGCAGGAGACCGTCGATTGACCTGATTGTTATTGTTTTGTTTTTTTTTTTTTTTGTTTTTATTTGTTCCTTTTGAGGAGCAGCTGGTCGTCCAAGAGATGAATCGACTGGGTATGATTGTTGACTTGTCCCACGTGTCGGTGCCAACGATGCTGGACGCCTTAGGTTCTTCAAAGGCCCCCGTTATTTTCTCGCACTCCTCCGCACATGCCATCTGCAACAGTTCGCGCAACGTTCCCGACCACGTGCTGCAGAGAATCGTAAGTTGTCCCTACTCCGCCGCCGCCAAAATTGGGAGATATATAACCTAATGTTAATTTCATTTCCCCAATACTCTTGCACAAACTCGGCATTTGAATAATACCAAGGCTATAAACGGCGGCCTAGTGATGGTGGCCTTCTATCCGCACTTTGTGAGTTGTTCCGGACAAGCCACGCTGCACGATGTTGTCGGTATGTAAATCATTTCAGCGCACATTCTGTGTTGGCAGATGTAATTGAATTTATGAAGGGGCAGGCACGCCGAACGAAAACGAAATAAATGTAATTGCCGAGCATCGCATGCCGACGTTGGAGGCCAGTTACATTCCTTCGACGACACTGTGACAAAAGATGAAGTGACTGGCTGGCTCCATGTCGACAGGATGCTGGCCTTTGGTGTGCTGCTCCCTTCTCTGCAATAAATAATAAAGGATTTGTTCGCTTGCTTTTCGTTTTACATCAGCTCACATAAATCACATACGCGAAGTGGCGGGCATTGATCATGTGGGCATTGGAGCCGGCTATGACGGCGTAAATCTGTAAGTATCTGTCCGAGTGTAATTCTTGCTTAGAAACCACTGTTTGGTGACGTGTGTGTGTGTGAAAACGAGTCTTAATGTTTTTCCCTTGGGGATGTGTTCGGTTATTACAGAGTTCCAAAGGGGTTAGAAGACGTCTCCAAGTATCCACATCTGTTAGCAGCATTGTTGGAGTCGGAAAAGTGGTCTGAAGAGGATATAGCCAAATTAGCTGGGAAAAACTTAATACGGGTCTTTAAGGAAGTCGAAGCGGTAAGTATTCATTCCAGAGGCATCAGAGAAATCTATGCAGCACACACAATGATGTCCAATACCTACACGGAATCGTATTGGCCAGGCATTCATTGATGCATACCTCACTAAATTCCTTTGCAAGAAAAACGCGTTGCGCGTTGGGCACCGAACTTGAAATGACTGTGCTGCAACAATACATGTTACTACGTGCAACCAAAGAGATAAAACTATAAAGATTGGACAAAATGCATATTGCCGTTTAACGTCTCGATCAGGCATTACACAAACGCATTAAAACATTACATAAATACATTATTCTGAAATCGCGAAAAATGGCGGAAACCGCGGAGAAAAGCAGCAGATGTAATAGATATGGTCTCAAAAAACTATTCCAGAGTGGAAACCCTATAAAAGTCAGCGAAGACCCTAGCAACGCCATCTATTGAGTCAAAGCAACAATGAAATGTCCCATTTTAATATATTACATGCTTGCAGTTTACTTCAAGGCGTCACACATTCAATTGGTTGGGTGTCAATTTCGTAGGGGTGCAGAGTAGTTTGTGTGTTGACGATATTTACTTGTTTATTGATCATATATTTATCGGCTTATTCTGGAGGGTTACAATTCCTCAAATAATGAATTTGAGATTTCTCTTTCAACAAATGTCGAGTATGTATCTAGGGTTTTCTTATATTATTTATTATGCCCGACACCACACTGTGGTACATAGCTCATAGCTAAAGCTCAGCCGATTTCATATTTAAGGCCTTCGCATCCGTAATACTCCCTCCATACAATGATATTCGGTAAAAGATATCATATACATCCGAGAAACACTCTCCGCAATTTGTGACGAAATGGGTTCGGATTTAGATATGGCTGCCATATATATCTACGTTCGATTTCAAGTATATTCTTCCATTTGGATGCATTTTTTTGTATTTCCTTACTGGTTTCCTAACGAGCCAATCCAATAGCCGACAGATCATGCAAACTTTTGCATGTTCCGTACAGAAGACTGTAACTGCACGGTTTGAGCAGTTGTGGTGGTCTCTATTGTGTGTATGTACAATGAAGTTTGCGGCAGATATGCATTACCTGTAGCCACTGCCTCATCCCTCAAATTTACCTTTTGTACAACTCCTACACTACGGCATCATACACACATACTTACTTGTGTATTTATATGAGCACTCCGAACGTTTGCGTTGATACGCGCATAATGAACGGAACTTCTTTGGCGGAGTAGATAAAAATATAGAAAGCGCTCTCGAAACGGATTCCAAGTCCCGTAATTAAAAATGCAAATGCAAAAAGCACACAATGTGCAGGCACACACTCGTGCCAGTGCATCGCAGCGAATTAATATCTCTTAGACGACAGTTTTCGAAGCGATTGGGCGACTAGTGGCCTCACCCTCAAACGAGAGATTTGTCATTTGTGTTGTCCCATTCCAGCATATCTTTTGGAAGGTACTGTTGCTAGTGGCCCAAGATCTCACACATAGCGCAATGTATTCATAGTTGTATTTACTTTTCTTTTGATTAGATTTGCTGTAATAGCGGCCAAAAAATGTGTTCTGGGAGAAGTAGTTGGGCCAGTAACCAATTCGTACTCAAAATTATTCGGTACTTACGCAGATTTATTTGAAGACAGGCGCAAGAGACGTTTGTTTTGCAATTTGCAGGCATTAACTTTTACTACTTTTTGCCACACAAAGGGGGGGGGGGGGGTCTATACGATATCGTTGATTGATATAGGCTATCTTCGAACTTCATCGGTCTGCAGATAAAAACCTGTTTTGGGCACAAGTCGTATGGTCCCAAACGTCATTCGGAATATGACTAGAACCGAACAATTTGGTGTCCATTGAAAAATAGCAACAGCTGCACAAAAACAAATATTACTATAGAGTACTATGCTACTCGTTCTCGACATAAATTTTCATTTTTTTTGCATTCGGGGAATGTTATCGCAAAATATCGACGAAAAATGAATGCGGAGGAAAAATGTCAATTCTATATACATTTCTTCCGACATTTTAAAACAGGCGGCGAAGTGGCGCGGCAAAACACTCGCAATTACAAAATTTACAATGTCGTACCGACGCGCGCTTCACACAGATACATACAGTCTTAATTACATTTCATGTACAACCGAATACAAAGGATTACGACAACCTAAGGTTGCTTTTACATGTCGCCTGTTGTGTCTTTTTAGGTCAGAGACGAAATGGAATTGTTAAAAGTGCCACCCCTGGACCAATCTATTCCAGCGGAAGACATAATGGGCAGATCCTACTGTCGCTACCAAGGCCCAAGAACGTGATCGCACATTCAGTCCTATTCTTCTGTCTTTGTTGGTCTCCTGGCCAAGGTCTGTGCCAATGAGGCTCCGCTTATAACGTCATGTTACCTACATAAACTCAACTCTGCCACGAAGTATACTCGCCATGTGACCACCACTTGTATCCTTTTGGGATGATGGCAAAGCCATTTTTTTGATTGTTTGATTCTACACGATATACACGCCCGGCACACCACCACGACTCTAGAGATGAAAACTACCTTGGATAGGTTCTGCCAGTTAGTCATTGGCTGATGGTGTAATTAAACGAATGTAAACGATTTCGATAGAGAGGGCTTTGAACAAGCAATAATATTTGACGTGGACGAACCACCATCCACGTAGCGACAAGTCGAATAAGGAAAATATTATGGGATCGTGTTGATTTATCGCCCAACACACAAGTGGACGTCCAGTTTTGCTGATCGCCTAGCCACGGACCACGGTATCGCTGGAAGACGTAATGCTTAGACGCAATAGTCTGGGTCCCATTATCCTCCTATGAGGTTTTTTTTTTTTTAACACGTTTTAGTGTTACGTGAACACCTACAACACCTTCAGTAGTAAATCAAAAGAAAAGTCATAAATTGTGTCTTCATATCATCCTTCATGCACACGCACGTCTATGCGCATGACAAGGCTCCCATCATGCCCATGAACTAACTCCCGCCAAAAGAAAACAGAACGGAACCACAAAACCACATGTCCGGTTTGTAAATATTAATAAGAATAAGCAGAAAATAAACAACAACAACAAACAAACAAACAAAACAAAAATTAAAACAATGATGTGATGATAAAGTTACAATTAATCAAACTCGAAGATAACTAAACGAAACCCCGTATTATTAAGGCGCGAAACAAACGTTAAGTAATCTATTATTGAACTAAAACTGAACGATGCTTTGGGCCCATTTAGGGTGTCCTCTGTTACATACTATACTTCATACATACTCATATTGCATACATACACACCCATATGAATATACTACTAGTTGCAAATAATATATACTGTTACCACATACGGATATGCGTATCTATCTATGAAAATATTGATATACACCACTGCAAGATAGGTAGCTATTAAGACCATTCTTATTAAGATATTTATAAAAATAAACAAAAACAACCACATTTTAAATCCAATGAGACCCTGAGAGCTGGAGTTTATTTTCAACAAGTGATCGCGTAAGTACTCAAGTCTTTATCCAACAACTTGTTAGATCGTATGAATATCTTCGCCAATGACGAGGGACGACCCCGGTCATTGGTAGGTGCGACGAATAGACTATTTTCCCAAACAAACGCTTAATTTATGAATGTGAACCACCACTGCTTTGGCTTCAGCGCCATCATACCGTTAATCAGTAGCGAGTGGTAATTTAAGAGCCCAAAATTACAGTTAAGAAAGTTGCAAATGTTTATAATCAGCGCAAAGCGTCATTACCAAATAAGAGGTTTATTAAGCGTCGTTGCTGCTTACAAAACAGCATTCCAAACGAAGTAAGCACTTATCAAACTGCCAACGGGAGTCAAAAGATAAATTAATAAAATCAGCCGTTCTATTTCAAGAATTCCAGAGTTGAATTTGAATTGATTTTTGGTTTGTTTTGTCATTTTTTTTTGCTCGAAGGTCTACGAATGCAGGGGTTGTAAGTTTTTTCAGACCTTAACCTACACGAGTGTCATTTTCAAAATTATTAATGGAAAAGAGACACGAAATTCGAGCATTATTACGAATTCCAATCTAGCATATTTGCCATCACCTGCATAATGACATGACAGATTTCTATGTTGTATGAAGCGATTGAAATAATCTTTTTTAATTATATAACAACAAGTCGATTCAAATCGTATGGGAAAAGAGTTGTCGAAAATACGTGCAAAATTACCCTAAAATGTATTTAATACTTCAGTTTGCCCTTGGAGTAATGGATGATGATGATGTTATTTGAGGCGCTGCTTCTTTTCTAAGCAAGTGGATGTGTTGCGTAGAATCACACTTTTTATACCCTCAAACGTATGTGATTTCACTTTCAATGCCTTCACACCATTCGGTTTGCAGATTTTGAGATGCAGTTTCAGTACTACTTTCAATTTAAAAGCCAACATCTATATTATTTACATATAAAAGAAAGTTATGTTAGTTACTACGCTTATAACCTAAGAATGGCTGGCCTGATTTTGACAATTCACACAGAAAAAGATTATATAAAAATAAAGTTAAAAAATACACTAATAAAAATGTGATTAAAAAATATATTTGTGAGATACATTTTTTCTAGGACCATACAAACTGTTAGAGCGAATTGAAAAATTAGTAAGAAAAGGATTCATATCCTGCGAAAATTCTTACGAAACTTTCAAGGTACTTACATCGCAGGTACCGTTATACGAGGGACTATGTGCAATAGCGAAAATTATATCTAAGGCATAGAAGAGTAAAGATGGGGCAAGTCAGAGTCAAAATACTATCACCAGGAGGATGTGATATCATAACAAACATTGAGAATTCTGAAGCAAATGCAATTTCCAATTAATTACCAATGTTTATTTTTTTATACCCTCCACCATACTATGGAGGGTATATTAATTTTGTCATTCCGTTTGTAACTCCTCGAAATATTCATGTCAGACCCAACAAAGTATATATATTCTTGATCAGCGTAAAATTCTAAGACGATTTAGCCATGTCCGTCTGTCTGTCTGTCTGTCCGTCTGTCTGTCTGTTGTAATCACGCTATCTTTCGAACAAATTGAGATAGAAGGCTAAAATTTTGCACACATGTATATTTTCCCAGTAGGCAGGTTAAGTTCGTAAATGGGCCATGTAGGACCAAGTTATCATATAGCCCCCATATAACTTCAGCCCATGCTAGAAAATTGTCTGTGCAGGTCCACGTCTTCGTATAGCCCCCATATAACGGTACCCCCCATATTCGGTATTTTGACAATTTTAGCTACATTATAAACAGATTTTTCTTCAAGTTTCGCAATTAAATATTGTAATAATTTATGACAAAAGTTGTCTATGCAGGCCCACGTCGTCGTATAAGCATTCGGTGTTTTTTTGGAAATTGCCAAATTTGTACCAAATGGTGGAGGGTATTAAAAGTTCGGCCCGGCCGAACTTACAGCTTTTTTACTTGTTAATTTATATAACGGTATAGTTTTCAATCGACAAACTAAATTTCTTTTTTATTTCCATTGATATGTTTTTCAAAAGACGGTAACAACGACAACAGTTTGGTTTGTAAACTTAGGTATTCGAATCATTTTGCTTTGGCGGAATTTTTGTATGCATCTTGTATGAAGTCGACTAAACGTAAATATAACAATGACTGTTCTCTTGTACCCTCCACCATAGTATGGAGGGTATATTAAGTTTGTCATTCATCGAAACATACATTTTAGACGCCACAAAATATATATGTTCTTGATCAGCATAAAATTCTATGTCGATTTAGTGATGCCCGTCCGTCTGTCCGTCTGTTGAAATCACTCTAGCTTCCGAACGAATTGAAGTAGGTTGATAAATGTATATAATGTCTATTTGGGTATTTTGAATATTTTAGCTACATTATTCACCGAATTTTATTCAAGTTTCGCATTCGAATATTGTAATGGCTTATGACAAATGTTGCCTATGCAGGCCCACATCGTCGTATGGACGGCTACATTCGGTATTTTTAAGATTTTAACAGAATTTCAAACGGATTTTATTTTTTCTTGAAAATTGCCAAATTCGTTTCAAATGTTGGAGGGTATTCAAAATCGGCCCGGTCAAACTTACACTTTTTTTACTCGTTTTTAAATAAATATTCCCTACAAAATATTCTGGCATTGTCAAAATAAGCTAATTCGGGTTGTATTTAAAACATGAACCCATATTGTCCATTCTTTGCCAGGGAGTTATGTACGTGGCAAATACTTTAAAAACTTGCCATATGTGCGTTGAAGGATTTAAGACTACCAGATACCTACCATTTCCCACACACAGCAAAAGGGGTGGGGATACCCCATTTCCAATCCCAGACAACTTAACATAACGATTTTAGTCATCTATTTCGATTTGTGCGAATGCTATAGTGACTGCCATATGTAAGTCGTCTTAAAAATGGACGTCCATTCAAACGAATATATTTTCCCAATCCATATTTTCCACCTTTTTTATTAAAGCGTTTTTAGAACAAATTTTAAAGCTGGTGGCAGAAACTGTCATCAACATGGCATAACTCCGAGACTATGCCATTTGGGAGGGCATATTCTATACAATTCTTCGGAAAACAGGTCACAATTTAAATGAGATATTTTTTGGCGGACACCTACTCATTGAAACCTTGGATCGTAGAATCAGTCAATAATAGGCAATCCGCAACTCTGTGCTGGCACGAGAACATTATATGTAAAGTATATTCATATGCACGTATGTACATATGGATCAAAGTGTTTTCAATCTCGCGTCCTGAGCCATCACCGGCTCGACTTATACCCGTTTTAACTGCGTCATGAACAATTTGCAGAACTTCAAAGCCTACGTATGAATTCACCTACACTGCGGGTGCCATTCTTGCTTCAAATTATTCATTATGGCTTTTAACCGACTGACATTTTTAATGGCGTGGAAAAGGCAAAACGGCTTCGAAGAGGAAGAGCACACAGTGTCAATATTTGCGTACAGTCAGCCCTCCAACGGTTTAATTGACATATGAGGCTACCCTAGTCGATCTTTATGCGCTTCCAAAGAGGGCGAACAGTAGGCGCTTAAGTTTACGCCTTCACACACACACACAGACACAAACACACTCATCATATTGGCATAACTTAAACGCTGTCATCCATTAATTTCAATTACATTACTCACACGAGTAGGCCTCCGCACATCATCGTCCTTCGCCCATCAAGGAAGGATGGCGATGGTCGAGATAAACTAAATTTCAGTTTCATTGTTTACGGCGGCAGTGCGTTTAATTGGATTTGACAAGCGGTGACTAATAAGCCTGTCGACGACGTGTATTCGGTGTGGTGTGGTGTGGTGTGCTGTGCATGTGTGTGTTGTCCATGTCACAAGCTTAATGTAATTTCCGAATGGACCTTTGTCCAGCCCCTGGTTTAGCAGAAGGATGTGGTGAAAGTGCAAAGTACTATTTCGATAACTACAACGAGGATCGTTGAGAGGAGGTAATTTTCGACTCAAGCCCTGGGCAAACAAAAACTCGTAATTCTAGCCGATTTGAATTCACATCCTCAATAACGTATGTTCGTCGTATATTCCTTGCAACACCTACAAGAGACGGCGAGTACTTGTTATTAGTTATGGCTTTTTGTTGAGATTTTTAGCTTCCGAACAAAATTAATCAGGTTGATCAAATTTTGATCAGATGTGGGTTAGGTCTGTAGCACTTTTGGTATACGTGCCAAGTAAGTCCACGTTTTGGTCTAGGCCCTGTTCCAGAACGGAACTTTCGAGTGTTTATTTATCATGTTTCTGTTGTAATGTTGGCAGTTATCACAGTTTCCTCTGTTCTCTTTTTTGACATTTCCGAATGGGGCTTTTGATAATTGCAATGCCATTATTCGGGGTTATTTGTCTTTGGCAGTCAAAAGGAGAAGTCGAAAAACTGCGAAATAAACGCGCGCTACTGTGTTTTAAACAAAATTGTTTTCTTTTGCGTTAACCGCAAGGCTCCTTCTTTGACATTAATCCAGAACAGGCCCTATATAACTGTACCGCCAGATTTAAGGTATTTTGGTTTTCTTAAACACACAATTTTAACCCGAATTTGATTTGAATTGGCAGTTTGTGTTCGCAGCATCCTTGCACAGAACTATCAACAGAATTATCTCAAAGTTTGAATTTGGGATTCGTAATAGGCGCCGCCTTCTCGTACTATGGAGGTCCACTTACTCGTATAGCCCCCATATAACTGTACCTCCAGTTGCCTCAAATTTCTTATTTCGCTTTGGTAATGGGTATACAAATTCACGTCTTCTTATAGGCCCCATAAACGGCACCTCTACTAGTCGGTATTTGGGTGATTTTAGTTACATTTTCCACAGAATTACCTAGAATATGGTATTTGAAGTTGGTAATAGTCACCATCTTCTCTGGCAGATAATTGGCTACGTTTTCGTATAGCTCCATA